GAGAAACAATCCTTCCAGGAAGAAACTGCCTGGCAGAATGAACCCAAGAGTAGGCTGTTTCGGTTTTACTTTAGCTTTGCCCTTTGCTAAGAGAGCAAAGAGTAACCCCACCCAGAGAAAGAGAAAGAGAAAGAGGTTTTGGTGGCCTGAAGGCCAAAGGACCCCCAGGGACTTTCCAGCCACTTGTTCATTTCCAAGACAGACTCCAGGCTGACCCACATCAGGACCACAGCAGTGGGCAAAAGTGGGGAGCTAAGCAGAAAAGAAACACATACACAAGGGGAGGAAATCCTCAGGTTAAGCAGCCTGAGAGTGAGAGAGACTCCTTGGCTCTCCTCCTCCCAGGGACACTGAGCACAAGAGCAAAGGAAAAAGAGAGAATTGATCAGTCCCGCTTGGAGGGCAAATTGAAGTTGTCTTGGAGGGCTTATTTTTATAACAGCATCTCTCCAGAGGGTCAGTGTGGTGTAGAGATTTGAGCATTAGGACTCTGGAAACCAGGGGTGAGAATCCTTGCTCACCCGTGTCACACACTCTCAGCCCCAGAAACCCCCATGATAAGTTCCCCTTAGGGTCCCATGTCAGGATTGACTTGAAGGCACACAGCAACAACAAAACACAGATTTATTATCAAGTTCACAGAGGGTTTTTATACCTTTTTGCAAGACGGGAGAGAAAAGGTGTTATGACACATGCTTACCTTTGCAACTTGCCTAGCTGAGCTGAGACACCCTGTTTATGGCTTCCGGAGGTTAGCCTTTTGGACAGGTAGGGCCTTCTCTGTGTTTTACAGCTAAAAGTCGTGAAAAGGAGAGAGCCGTGGATGATGGGCAGCAGAGAGAAGAAGGCTTGGCTCCTCACTGGGTTCACTGCCATCCAGGAGGAAGGAGCGAATGGGTGCTTGCACCTGTATCTCTTCTTTGGAGAAGGTCCTGCAGTTTTGGAGAGGAAGGAGAAGGAGAGGCAGCAGCAATAACCAAGTAAGTAAACACAAGCCCTTGTACCAGTATTTCCCCCTCCATGCCAGGTGCGGATGCTGGCTCTCTCAGAACAATATTTTTTTGGGGGGAGGGAGTGCCCTTCTAATCCCATCCCTTGGCTTCAAGGTGTCCTTTTGGGGTTGCCCTGTGAAGCCTCCCCTGGCCTCCCTAGACCCTGATGGTCTCTCTACTGTGGGCCCCCGCAAGAGTGAAGAAGCCCCCATCATGGGGTGGCCATTTTATGCTCCTGTATGTGCCTTTTCCTGTATGTGACCCTCCCTGCACTCAGCCCATTGCCCCTCACACCAGTCACAGAATCATAGAATATATTATAGAGTTGGAAGAGACCCCAAGGGCCATCCAGTCCAACCCCCTTCTGCCATGCAGGAACTCCCAATCAAAGCATCTCCATTGACAGATGGCCATCCAACCTCTGGTTAAAGACCTCCAAGGAAGGAGACTCCACCAAAATCTCCAAGGGAGGAGTGTGTTCTTGCATGACTTCAAAATAAAAATGGTGAAATGAAAAAAGGAGAAAGCTTGTGGTGGATCGGAGACCTGTTCCCTTTGGCCAAGGGTGGTCGATGTGGGATATAGTTTTCTAAGTACCAAATCAAATTAATCAGGACAAAGCAAGTGAAGCAGTAATCTCAATTTATTATTTTAATCTTGCAAGAAGGGGTGTCCTAGGTGAGCCGAGGCCTTTGGTGCTTCCCTATCAGCATGGTGGTCTTTTTATGTGGACCGCTGGCAGCCATCATTTTGTGTTTTGGGGTCAGGTGTGGCACCTCTCCGCTCTTGGCCCATCATCCTCGACTCGTAGGGACTGGTTCCCAGGGCCCCGCAGGCCGGGAGGATTGCCTTCCCCATCACTCTGTTGCAGCACAGTCTGCTCTGAAGAGGGGTAATAGGAGGGGTGGGCTCTCTGATCTCTGCCCTTGCGGCATGGGTTTGGGTGAAGAGGTTTTTCAGAATGGGGCCCGCTTTGAACTGTGCCACCCCCCACCCCCCTCCACTCCACTCCACTCCCCCATAGCCATCAAAATGGAGCACACACTCCTGGCCCGGGATATATATATATATATATAGCATGCCTTGCTCCAGGCAACTCCCCATTCTCCCCGGTGCCTGGCCCTGGCCTTCCCCTGAGCCCCCGAAAACAACCCTCTTGCCTGGTTTCTTCCATGGGACCTCCCCCCCCCCCGCCCTAAGCAAATGGTTTTCTTTGGAATTATTATAATTATTATTTTGTATAACGTTTTGATGTTGTTTTTTAAATAACGTATTCATGGTTACCATAGTCATAAAAGTTATTGAGAATAAAATGTCTCAGCTAACATTTCTATCTGAAACAGGAACCTTGTAGCTCTACTTTGTCTCTCTCTTAGAAATAGTTCTCTCTGGATATTTTTGTTTGTTTGTTTGTATTTTTTGTATTCTTTTTTAAAAAAATCTTTTTTGCTTTTTTTGGATGCTACTGTTCAGTATATACTTTGGAAAAGGTCTTTATATTTAAAACAGTTCTGGAGGGTAGAGGAGGAGAATTCCTCTGTGCCTAACAGCCTTCCAAGGTCAGCTGGGCCCAGAATTCGCCATCCTGTGAAGACAATGGCTGGGGAAGAGCACTCACTTGCACAAGATTGTGTACAAACACACACACACACACAGAGACACGCTATGTAGATTCAGAGGGAAGAAAGACCCAGCAATCCTCTCTCCATCTATTCTCTTACAGAAAACCTGACAAGCTTTGATACTCCAGTTTGGTGACTGCTTTGAACTTCACAGAGGTCTCTAGAAACCAGCATCAAACCTGGATTCCTGGTGTTGACAGGCTCAGTCCATGCCTTCCTCAGGACTGCAAGGCTCCTGGGTTGGCCTCATCTTCAAAAATAAAAGGGGTGGCGGGAGAACTGTGGTTAAATGGTAGCTGTGTTTCCCCCTCCTCTTTCTTTTACAGTTAAAACAGTGGTTCCCAAACCCCGGTTCCCCAGATGCCCTGGACCTCAGCACCCCGAATTCCTGACTGTTGGCCAACCTGGCTGGGACATCTGGAAGCTGGAGACCAACATACCTGGAAGACCAAAGCCCAGGAACCACCATGTTAAAGGTACGTGAAAACTAGGAGTTGCAGAATGATATCACAGATCCTTCCACAGGATTTGGAAGAAGGGAGAAGATGCTAGAACCAAGCATTTACACATACATCCACCCGCCTCTAGTGTTTGTTTAAAAGCAAACGCTCACAATCATTTAATTTTGTTTCCTTGGGGGAGGGATGTCCGTTCCCCCCCCCCCGGTTAAAAGGCGATGGGGAATGTGTCCGTCCATTGTCTGTCCATTGTCCATCCATTGGATTCCTCTTACTCAGGACACCAGGCTGAGCCTGCCAATTCATCACCGCCACGAAGCCCACATGCTCAAAGGCACCGCTGTGTGGACTGGGCCAGGATTTGTGCAAGGGTCAACCTCAGGGAACTTCCCCCACAGCAAATGTTCATTTTGGAGTAACATGACACTCAATCCCTGGGCTCATTTCAACCCCCTGAATTAGCTAGGAAGAGACGCAGTGGAGCAAGCAGTTAAGATGCTGACTCTGTTGACTGCAAGATCTGGAGGCTGGCAGTTCAAGGCCTGGGTACCACTCCCGTCACTAGTCCCAGCTTCTGCCAACCTAGCGGTTCGAAAGCATGCAAATGCAAGGAGATAAATAGGTACCACTTTGGTGGGAAGGTAAACAGCGTTCTGGGCAGCCATGCTGGCAATCACAGGATCACAAAGTAGTCTCTGACAATGCTGGCTCTTTGGCTTAGGAATGGAGATGAGCACCAGCCCCTATGGTCGGACATGACTTGACACCATTGTCAATGGGGAATACCTTTACCTTGAATTAGCTAGGAAGAGATTTGCCCTCTCCAGCCCCAGCCCCACCCGAAGCTCTCACCATTCCAATGGCTGCCATCTTTCTTTGTGCAAGTGTGTGTTGTTTGGGGTAGGCTAGCCCTCCCCTCCCTGGTTGGCTCTGGGCATCACCATTGACCAAAGGGAACAGGCCTCCATCCACCACAAGCTTTCTCCTTTTTCATTGTAGTGTTTTCCCTTTGACAAGTGATGGTCAGTTCTTCCTCCGCAAGCGTTTGTTTTGGGGCAGGGTGTGATGCCTCTCTGCGCACCACTTTGGATTCATTTTTTTAATAATCTTTATCAATACACTCAATAAAGTACAATTCTTATTCCCTTGTAATCTTTACAGTATTCTCTTTGCCTTGTCTTCCCTCCGCCTCCCTCACCCTCACATTGTCCATTCATATAGTTGTAACTTCTCTTTAGATCAGGGGTTGGCAAGGTTTATGTACCTGGGGCTGGTCGCTGGTCTCCAGGTCTTCCGCTGGGCTGGGGGGGGGGAATGACAGCACACGTGGCCCCCACAGACCACCACCGCCACCCCCCTGCCGCTGCCGCGCGCATCGCAACCGCCATTTTGTTTGCCAAAATGGCGGCCGCAACTCGTTTGCGCATGTGCAGGAGTACTGCACATGCGCAAACAAGTTGCGGCCTCCATTTTGGCAAACAAAATCGCGACGGCGGTGGCGGTGGTGCGCATGGCGGTGGCAGCGGCAGCTAAATTAATTGAGCTAAATTAATTCTCCCGTTGAATACAATTTGTGGGTGCCCTCATGGGACCCTAGGTTTTTGGGTAACAGCATTCCCCTCCATGTACTCCCACATGGGTATGTAGAACCCACAGAGCCCCAAAAATCTGGTTATTATCCGTAAAACTTTCATACCTGTGGTCTCTCTTCTTTTGCTATCTCCACAGCAGCCCTTCAAGAACAATTACAAGGGCTTCCTTCGGCTGCATAATTTCATCTGTCTTTCATGGCTCTGAAGAGGGGAGCAAGGGGAGTCTGCCGGATGGCCTCCCTTTCTCCACCTTCTGCCCAAACCGGTGGGTCCCAGGCAGTTGGGGACACATACCATTGTCGAATGACAAGCTGCAGCTGGCTCTGGTCATTAAGAGCCAGAGTGGTGCAGTGGTTTCAGTGCTGGACTACAGTTTTGGAGACCATGGTTCGAATCCTGGCTCAGCCACGGAAACCCACTGGATGACCTTGGGCAAGTCCCGCTCAGTGGCGTTCCAAACTGGGGTGTCAAAGCCAAAGGGCACGCTCCCAACTCCCTGTCCCATATGGCGCGGCAGGGAGGGAGAAGGCCTAGATCCTGCCCCTGCCACACAAGGTTTTACTTGCGAGTAAAGCCTCATGCGGCAGAGAGGGGAGGCACATGGCGGGGGTGGGTGGCGTGCTCACCATGTGTCATCCCCCTTCTGTGGTGTCACCCGGTGTGGTCCGGGTGGCCTTAGCATCAACATAGATTGGAAACAACTTGAATGTATACAACAGCAGCAGCTTTGCTCATTAACAATCCCAGTGCAAGAAGTCAAGTGTGTCACTCGGACACCAAAGAAACAAACCAGGTAGAAACAACATTGGAAGATGGTTCTAGGTGTCGGGGGAATCATGGTCGGGTCTCAGAGTGGGCAAAGGGGACTTCCACTGGAAGAAGAACCAAGAGTGGCGTCCAGCATCCGGTCAGCATTTGTGGCCACTGCAGAAGCGAATGGCAGAGCAAAGGCAGCGCCAACTAATAATAATAATAATAATAATAATAATAATAATACTTTATTTTTGTACCCCGCCTTTTGCCTAGGCAATCAAGGCGGCTCACAACAGTTGCATAAATAAAACAAACCCCACAATAAACAGGAATGACATAATAAAACAGGTTACCGCCCCTTTTTAAAATTACATATAATGCTAAAAAATTTTAAATAGCTGGTGTTCTAGCACCAGTAATTATGAAAGATATAACAAACATAAAAACATAATAGAAACATAAAAAGAGGGAGAGACATAAATTGGGTACGGTCTGTTCTATTTGGGGAAGGCCTGCCGGAAGAGATCCATCTTGATGGCTCTTTTAAAGTTCTCCAAACTGGTTATTTGACGGATCTCCTCCGTCTGGGAGGAGCGACAGAAAAAGACCTCCGGGAGGTTCAATTGCTCGACTGAGTGGCAGATAGATGTCTTCAGCCTGGCCCTGTGAGGAGCCATTCCCCAAATATATTCACTATTTGCGGCTGCAGCCACCATCGCCAAGGGAGGCATCATTTCCGGTTGTTGACAGGAAGTGATCCTGCTAAGTAGAGAGATCTTGTAGCACCTTTGAGGCTAATTGAAAGAAAGAAATTGGCAGCACGAGGAGCTTTCTGAGACATCAGTCTACTTCCTCAGATGCTTTTGGTGGAGGAGGCCAGGCACAGATCCTACGAGGGCAGGGTGCGACCCTAGTCTCTGTGTCCAGCCCAGCATCCTCACCCAGAAGGGAGCGTTTCCAGTCTCTTCCAGTGCTACTACTGTTAGGTGGATTTGCAATTGGTTGACCGGCCAAATGCAAAGGGTGCTCAGCAATGGCTGCTCCTCTTCTTCATCCTGGAGAGAAGTGACCGGTGGGGAGCCACAGGGATCTGCCCTGGACCCAACAACTTGGGTGAAGGAAATAGAGGGAATGCCTATCAAATTTGCAGGTGACACCAAATTAGGAGGGGTAGCAAATTTGTTTTCTGCAGCTCCAGAGAATGGGACCCGAAGCAATAGATGCAAGCTACAGGAAAAGAGATTCCACTCCAACATTAGGAAGAGCTGCTCAACAATGGAAGACGCTGCTGCCTCAACGGAGTGTGGTAGAGTCTCCTTTTTGGAGTTTTTTAAGCAGAGGCTGGATGTCCTTCTGTCCCAGGGAGGGCTTTGATTGTGTCTTCCTGCATGGCAGAAATGGGGCTGTGTTGATTGGATGGCCTTTGGGGGTCCCTTCCAACTCTAGGATCTTACGATTCTAGGCCAGGGGTAGGCAACCTTTCTCCTTTAAGGGCCAAGGAGGGACTTCAACTCCCAGAAGCCTCAGCCATGTTGGCCTATAATAGTCCCATGTTGGCCAATAGCTCCTGGGATTCTGGGAGCTGAAGTCCCTCGGCCCTTAAAGGGGGAAGGTTGCCTACCCCTGTTCTAAGCTATAGATACAGCTCTATCTGGGGCCTGCCGCCTGGTATGGCAAAGGAAGCAAGAAAGAGATGGCGGCCAATGTGCATGTGCGCTCTCTCTTTCTCTTTCTCATTCTTATTCTCTGGCCGACTGTGGCCGAAGGATGCTGCAGAGCCATGCTGCCCCTCCGTGGCAACAGAGATCCAGGCAGAGCCACCTTCAGAGCAGAGGCCCATCATCGGCCGGAAGGATGCCTATGAGTAAACTGCCCACGGATGGAGGAGCCTTCTCTATCCTTGTCTGGCTCAAGACTGGCCGCTATGGACTGCAGGTGACCCAGGTCAGCCCAGGCCATCAGGTGTGAATTTTAAAAAATAAAAGATGAAGCCCCTTGCTTTGAGATCTCCATCATTTGGAGACATATAAAAGCGAGGTGACTTTGCTTCCACGGGACCTTTGGTTCTTGTGCCTCTGCCTCCATCCTGTGCGTTTTAACATAATAGGCGAGAAAGGGGAACGTCCGTCCGCTCTGATTCATATCTGCAAGCTTTCCTTGCTTAAAGTGGGATAGGACCTAAACAATCCCAAAGGTTCCCGTCGCCTGCATTCCTTGCCTTTTGGACATATCAAACTAATCAGAAAGAACGGGAGCCAGTTCCTGTTGAGGAACGATGATAGAAGGCAGGTGGAATGGGATGTGCTTTGAGCTAAAAATGCTAATTGTTTTCTCATGGCTTACATGAGAAAACAGCTTGCAAACAGCATATATAAGTTGGGATCTGAAGTCATCTGGTTGTCTCACTTTGAATCTCTTTCTTCCCAAGTGTATACCTATTTCTGCAGAAATAAACTTTGTTTTCCTCTGCACTTTGCTTCTGTTAATTTTGGACCCTTTGCTGGGCAACAAAGCTGACTCTTTCAACACAGGGAGCTGCTTGGCTTCCAGGTTTTGCATCTTAGCTGGGACCTGAAATCAAGTGTGTGCGTGTTGCGTTGGGAGCATATATACCAGGGGTAGGCAACCTTTTTGAGCCGGGGGCCAGGTTGCTGTCCCTCAGACAATTGACGGGCCGAAGCACCAAAAATAAATAAATAAATAAATAAATAAAAATTAAAATTAAAATTAAAAAAGAATTAAAAAATTTTAAAAAATGCATGCACACTCTCTCAGCCCCAGAAAAGCCATGGCAAAACCCCTGTGAAGATTTTGCCAAAAAAAACCCCAAGAACAAGTAATAACAACAATAATCAGTATCATCATGGGGGGGCGGCGGCAGTGGGGGGGCGGCGGCGGCAGGACCGGTTTGGGGCCGGTCCAAAGGCCTTGCTGGGCCGCATCCGGCCCCCGGGCCTTAGGTTGCCTACCCCTGATATATACACAGGGTGACTAGATGTCCTCCTTTCCCAGGACACATCCTACATTTTAACCTTCTCTCCAGGAGGAACTCCCAAATGTCCTCCATTTGAGCATGAATGAGAAGAATGAAATTATATTTATATTAGAGCTTTTAACTTTTATTTTGTAATGCCTTATATTTTTTCTCAAACGTCCTACAGTCTATGGTGCCTTGTCCTCCTTTGCAGTACTGACACCTGGTCACTCTGTGCATACAGAAAGGTAGAGCAAGGATGGGCGCCTGTCACAGGCTAAAGGGCTGCAGTGGTCCCTTGGGAGACCTGGAGGGTCACCCCCCCCCTACACACACACCTGGCTTTTCCTTTTATTCGGGGGGGGGCACAGAAACCACGCAGGGGCTAGAGGTAGACCACGGCCCACACTTGCTCCTCTGGAGCATGTCTGGAAACCATATAGCCCTCCCTCTGAGGAGAGACTTAGGGAGCTGGGGATGTTTAGCCTGGAGAAGAGAAGGTTAAGGGGTGATATGATTTTGTTGTTGTTCTTCAAACAAAAATCCACCAAACAGGGATACCTTTACTGGCCAACCAAAATGCACAAT